CAGCGCTGGTCCCAGCCAGCAGCAGCAGCTTGCTTCCATCCCATATGCAGATCTGGGGGCCTGTGCCCCCTGGGAAGAGTCTGGCACAGCCCTGCAGCCCTCCTGGGGGGCATAGCCCCTCCGGATCTGTGCACCAGATGAGAATATGCTGCCGCTGCTGCCTTGGACTGGTGCTGGGCACAGCCTGTGCCTAGCACCAGGAAGATTGTTGGTGCCACTGGCCCCAGGCAGCAGCAGCAGCCTCCTGTTGTCCTGCGTGCAGATCTGGGGGTTTGCACCCCCAGGAGGGCTGTGGGGCTGTGTCAGACTCCTCCTGGGGATGCGGACCCCCGGATCTGCATGTGGGATGATAGGAAGGTGCCACTGATGCCTGGGACCAATGCTGGGTGCAGGCCATGTCCAACATTGGGAAGATTGCTGCTGCCACTGGCCCCAGACAACAGTGGCAGCCTCCTTTCATCCTGCACACAGAACTGGGGGCCTGCACTCCTGGGAGAATTCCGGGGCTGTAGCAGGAGGACAGGAGGCTGCTGCTGCCAACAAGTGAAAGGGGGTTTCCTTTCACCTGTTTGAGGTGCAGGTTCCCAGAAACCTCTGCACCTATCTCCTTGAAACTTGGCAGCCTCAAAAGGCATTTTCATGATTTCCCATTATAGCCTATGGGCAAAATGTCAAAACCCGTTGAAACAGTGAAACAGTTTCAATGAAACAAAATGGAACAGTGCTTCAAAATGAAATAAAATGACAAAACAAAATACTGTCCCTTCGAAAAAGTGAAATGGAAGTTGAAATGAAACAGCATTGTTCCACTTCAACTTCTGTTTTGATGGAACAGTGTTTTGTTTTGAGTTTTGCTTCATTTTGAAAGCACAGTTCCATTTTGTTTTGTGCTGGGACCAGCATAAGCACCGATCTTCCCGGCCTGCACCCTGGGAGGAGCCTGGTATAGTCCCACAGCCCTCCTGGGGGTGCGGGCAGGCCCTGATCTGCCTGCCAGATGACAGCAGGCTGCTGCTGCTGGCTGGGACTAGCGCTGAAGCCAAGTAAGCCTGGCTTCGAAACTCGAAACATTTCAAAGCTTTTGAAACATTTCGAGTGCCCTTGTTTTGTTTCAAAACTGTTTCAAAGTCTTTTGTTTTATTTTGATTTCGCTGTTTCAAGCTCAAAACGCATTGAAACAGCTTCAAAATGAAACACCAAGCAAAATTTCGCACAGCCTTATCAATCTACTAATGAACTTTAGCATACTCTGTAGACACAACATTGTATCCACTATAGTTTCCAGTAATAAAGTGGTTAGTATCAACAAATACAGTCATCATCCTCCTGGAGCAAAAAGGTTAAAACAGGTACTTTGACCCCTTCTAGTGTAAAGAAAGGGAACTGCAGCATGTTTAACTGCATCCAGTAAATGAACAGCAAGAAAATTCACCAGCACTGACTGCACATACAAACGTAATCACACACTTGCATATGGGGGTCATGTTTTGTTTCTGTGGCATTGGTATGTCCATTGCAAAAATATTAATGTGGTCACTGTTGATACTAAAACTGTTGAAGCTCCCTTACAGGCAATATATTTTATTCCTAGTTCTTATTCGGAGACAATAATCTTGTGTAACATTACTGTTAGAATTGTTCACAATGCCTGGTTTTTACAAAGTGAAGCAAAGGTATCATGTTTAACGATTTGTAAAATAAATGTATGAAATGTGGTCTGTAGTGAAAGTTCTTTGTCTTCTACCCCAAATTGCCAATGGTATTAGTTCGTTCTTTCTTGCAGGATGGTAGCACATGCAGGGTCCAATCAAATTCAGGGTTCCATTTTGCTATACATTGTCCCATGTCCTTATTGGAATCAAAACACTATTGTATTGGGTTCCCCCTGCACTGGCAGTAAGGTGTGATGGTTCTCAGTGTTGTCAGATAACAGAACAAGGAGAAATGGTCTCAAGTTACAGCAAGGGAAGTTTAGATCAGATATTAGGAAAAACTTCCTTATTAGGAGGGTAGTAAAGCACAGGAACAGGTTACCCAGAGAGGTTGTGGAATCTCTATCCTTGGAGGTTTTGAAGACACAGGGAGACAAAGTCTTGGTTGGGATGATCTAGTTGGGGATGGTCCTACTTTGAGCAGGGCATTGCATTAGATGGCCTCCTGAGGTCCCTTCCAACCTTAATTTTCTATGATTATATGAAATCTGATTTGCAATCCCACAATCATGTTTCCTATACCTGCAGCAGGGCAGGAGATGTGATTGTGTGGATCGTGCAATAGATTCCATCACACCTTTACCTACATGTGTAAAGGGGGTCCTAAGGGCCTTCCATTTGAGACAAGTTAGCAGGGTAAATCATGATAATGAGAAGCCCCATGTGGACCAAAGAGAGTGGGAGGATCATGGGACCTTAATTTCATAGATTTCATAGATGTTAGGGCTGGAAGGGACCTCGAAGATCATTGAGCCTAGTCCCCTGACCCAGGGGCAGGAAGTCAGCTAGGGCGAAAGGACCCCAGCAAGATAAGCATCTAAGTGTTTCTTGAATAAATCCAGAGTAGGTGCCTGCACCACATATGGAGGGAGTCTATTCCGGGTCTTAGGGGCTCGGTCAGTAAAGACATTTTTTCTTATGACCAGCCTAAAACGATCTTGTAGGAGTTTATAACTGTTGGTCCTTGTTTTTCCTTGGGACACTCTGGTGAACAGACGTTCTCCCAGATCCTGATGAACACCCCTTGTGTAGTTATAGGCAGCCACCACGTCTCCCCTGAGCCTGTGTTTTTCCAGACTAAAGGGCCCCATGGCTCTCAGCCTCTCTTTATTTATTTGAGAAGCATTTATAGATGCAAACAAGGGTTTTGTTTGTTTTACCAGCTGTGACATTGCATTGGTGGCTCATGTTCATCTTGTGGTCAGTCATGACGCCCAAGTCTCTTTCAGCAGTGGTGTTAGCAAGCGTAGCACTGCCTAGCCTATAAGAATACTGTGGGGTTTTTTTCCTGAGGTGGAGTACCTTTCATTCATCAGTATTGAACGTCATCAGGTTTGTGTCCGCCTACTTACTAAGCTCATCCAAGTCAGGCTGAATCATTAGCCTGTCCTCAAGTGTGGATGCTATGCCCCAAAGTTTAGTGTCATTGGTGAACTTAGCCAGCACGCTTCTGACACCAATGTTGACATCGTTGATAAAGATGTTGAAGAGAACAGGTTCAAGGACAGAGCCTTGGGGGATGCCACTGGTTACAGAGCACCATAATGACTCATTGCCATCAACCACTACTCCCTGGGTCCAATCTCGGAGCCAGTTTCCCAGCCATCGGACTGTGGTGTAGCCGAGGCCACAGTTGGCCAGTTTTTCCATGAGGAGGTCATGGGACACCAGATCAAAGGCTTTTTTAAGTCCAGGTATATGACATCAATCTCTTCTCCCTTGTTCAGGTGATATGTCACCTGGTCATAGAAGAAGATGAGATTGGTCAGGCAAGACCTACCCACGACAAACCCGTGGCTATCCCTCAGGATGTTGCCCTCAGCCAGCTTATCCAGAAGGGTCTCCTTGATAATTTTCTCGAGAATCTTACCGGTTTTCCAACTCTCTACATATTTAAAACAGGACTTTTTGTTATCCTTGTTATGTGAAGCCAGATGGAGCTCGTTTGCAGTCTTGGCTTTCCTGATCTGGTCCCTGCAGGTATGGAGCAGTGCTGAGTAATCCCCTTGGTGGTAATTCTAACCTTCCATTCTTTATAAGTCTCTCTTTTGAGGCGTAAGAGGTCCTTGAGTTCCCTGCTGAGCCAAGTGGGTTGCTGCGCCCTTTTGCTACCCTTCCTTCAAGATGAGATGACCATCCCTTGTGCTGTCAGGATCGCTCACTTGAGAAGCAACCACTCCTCTTGGACTCCTCTTCCTGTTGAGTCATGGTCCCTTAGGGCCTCAACAACGAGCCTCCCGAGCTTGTTAAAGTCAGCTTTCCTGAAGTCAAGGACTTCAGTATTGCTGACTGACTTGCCAGCTGTGAAATCGATAGTAAAGGTGATCAGCTCATGGTCACTATCACCCAGCTTTCCATTGATTCTTAGGTCACTGACTATGTTATCCCCTTTGGCCAGTACCAGGTCCAACAATATTTTACTTCTTGTCAGCCCATAGACTTCTTGAGTCAGGTAGAGCTCATCCACACACGAGGAAGCTTTGCGACTGATCGGATTTGGCTGAGTGCTCTTCCCATGAGATGTCCAGGTAGCTGAAGTCTCCCATGACAACCATGCACTGACAGCATGCAGCCTCAGCCAGTTCCCTGGTGAATTCCTGGTTCAGCTCTTGTTTCTGGTTAGGAGGTCTGTAGTATACTCCTACCATGATGTCACCTGTGCCACAGTCCCCATGTATTTTGACCCATAGAGACTCCAGTCATCCCTCCTGGGTGCCAATGTCAATTTGAAGGGACATGTAGCCGTCCTTGACATAGAGGGCTTCTGGCCTTGACATTAAGGACCTTCTTGACAATGTTCAATAGAAAGTTTTTAGCATGCCAGTTTCAAAGTGTTTGCACACGTAGGCTTATGCACAACCACTGTTTTTTAGACTCCATAGGGAGGTGAAATTTGCAAGGACCTGCAACATAGCTCAAGAAATATGAAACAAGTACAATTTCCACAATATCTTTGGAATTACAATTGGGCTATTACTAGGTATTTTTGAAAATCTGACCCTAAATATTTAGTTCTACCTGGAAAATGACATCATATTTACACATTCCATTTGCATTATTCACATAAAATTCTGCTCTTAGAAGCAACTTGAGTAAATCAAAAGTATTTCCATTCAAATTACCTGGATCATTCTTGAGATTTGATTTTGAATCTGGGAACAGTGTCTGACTCACACCATTTACCTTTTATTGAAGAGCATTTTTATGAACTATTTTCATATGTAATTATATTTAACTATACATGTTTTATAAATGCAGAATGTAAAAAAAGAAAAGCAAGTTAAAAACCTCAGATCAGTGTGCCTTGGAAGAAGTTTTTTCTTTCCATTAAAATACACTTCAAATTCATCAGTCTTCAGCCTGTGTGCATAGTCAATATACGCTGACACCTCCTGACCACGAGAATTTCGGTCACGGATGAAGATTACGGACTGGAAAAAAATACAAAATAAAACAATGTAAATAATAAATAAAAAAAAATGTGAGTAAAAAACATTTTAATCTGAGCCATTCTTTTCTACAATTTGGTTAGGTAGGTTGCAGATGGAATGGAAAAAGAAGCCTGCAGGGAAAATTCCCTGTGTGAAGAGTGGAAGGAACAGTTGGGGAACTGAAAAAAATGAAAGGGTTGTCCATAAAAAGAGGAGGACTGGCAGTAACTGGGAACAGGAGAATAGGGTGGAGGAGAAAGTCACCAAAGTGTTGTCCCATGGACTCTGAGGTCCATGTTCTTTAGGTATCTGTTGGTCAAGTCCAACTTTTTGCTCTCGTACATTCCAATAGTAAATTAAATGTGGAAATAGGTCACTAATACTTTGGCAGCAATTCTGGCCTAGAAAAGGAATCCACTCCTACTTGCTGGGTGTGTCTACACATGCAATTAAAGTGGTCAAATAAACTCTGGAGCTTACTGCTTTGGAGTGTTTTGCTCCCAGGTGCATGTTCAAAGGGTGCACCAGGGAGCAAAATACTCCAGAGCAAATTGCCCCAAAGTTTATTCATGTGCACCACATGGAGCCTTGGTCAGAGCAGTCCAGGCTAGCAGGGAACCCAGGGGGTCAGTCTGCCAGCTCAGGGCTGCTCTGACCTGGCTCTATGTGCTGTGTGGGGAGGAAGTGGCTGGTTTGGGCACAGCGTGCTTCATTGGCGGGGTAGTCAGCAGGCAGTTCTCATGCTGAGGCACACTGCACCCCAGCCAACCACAAAGCAGCATGTGGAAATGGGGGAGCAGATAGCTCAGGGCTGGGTGCTCCTCCACCTGTACATGGGCTCTGCAGAGCACTGAGATAGGGGAGCAGCCCGGGGCTTGCTGCTCACCCACATCTCCATGTGTCACTCTGCAGCTCGCTGGGACACAGTGTGCCTCAGCACAGGGGCTGCCTGCCAGCTAGCCCTTCACTGAAGCACTCTGTGCCTCAGCCAGGCAGGGCAGCATCTACATATGTACTGCTATGCATGAAAATCTCTGCAGAAGGGTAGGACTTGTATTTGACAAGACTATACTGCTGTGGAATTCATTAGCTTTATGCATCCTACTAGGGGCACATGTGTAGATACTGAGATATTTACTGCACAGTTAATAAAGACAACTCTCTGCTAAATGTCTTGTGTAGATGCACCCTCTGAGAGTCTCTCTGAGAAGTTAGTTTTGGAGTCCCTAGAGGAGTAAGGTGGACTAACTTCCACTCTGGACATGGCTGCTGTTCTTAAGAGAGGGACTGAAGGCATCGATGAGATGGCTTTTCATGCTATTCCATTTGAGCTTCTCCCTCTTCTTTTCTGCTTCTTCATCTTTTCCTTGGTTTTATCTTCCATACTAGAGGAGGAAGGTTTGGCAGGAGATTTGAGACAATCCTTTCTCCATACTTCCACAATGTAAAAGGCAAAAAATAGGCAGAAAAGCAGTAGATAGGGGTTTTTGTAACTTAGATGACTAAGAATTCTTGCCATCTGGTTTTTGTGTAAGTACAACATGAATACTGAGTACATAGACTTCAGATAGCTGCGATGCACAAGTTCTTTTCCATGTCTGAAATCTGAGCATTTTTTTCCTTCTGTAGAGAGGAAAATGGTACCTTATGATATGGAATTTTAAAAAAGCATGCTCTAATTTAGCATAATTAGTCTTCTACAGCATAATGATTTATCTAGCAAATTGTTGAGAGATCCTTTTCCTTTTCCAATTTCCACCACAGTCACATTTAATTCCATTAAAACACATGGTGACTATTGTACAGTTTTTTTGCTGTGAACATCTTTGTCTTGTAGGGCCAGAGGAACCTTTCAAAAGCATGACAGCTCCAGCCACTTTGCCATAACACCTACTTCTCTCCATCCCAGCTTGAGATACACCTATCTGAGTCATGAGTTTTATCATGAAAAAAAATATTATTGCAATGAGAAATAAAAACACTGGCAACCACTGCAATTATTGTACGTGGCATCTGTACCTAGACAAAATATTAAAAACTTATCATAAATACATGAACAACTGAGTCATCATCTTTTAAAAAAACACAAGTTACAGTTTTAAATAAACAAATTGAATTACATTATATAGTACAGTAATACACATGCAAATACAAAACTTCAAAGTGTGTTAACTGCAGCATAAAACATAAGACATCTTTCACCTCCCTTCTAATAATAAAATTAATTTCCTAAAATAGGTGTTCACAGATAATCAAGTATATATCAATACAGATCTCCAGTAGAGTCAATCACCATGTCTTTCATCAAAAAACCCCCCAAAACTTGTTTTGAATGTTTTGAACTTCAAAAACGCAATCGAAATATCAAAAAAAAAAAAATGCCTGTGATAAAGGTACAAAGGCTTCCCCCTCAAAACTAAATGCTTTTGATCCTGTCTCACCTGTCAACACTGTTTTTCATTTTAGGTTCTGTGACTCATTTCTAGGTACCTATAAAGCTTTCATTCATAAAACTAAGAATGTGCTTGAATGTTCTTAAGATGTTCTATCACTTTTGAATTTTGCCACACCTTTCTGCCTCAGAGGAGATTCTTATAAGTTTGCTTGTTTTCCCCCCTGAAATGTTCAACAGCAGTTAAAGCTTTTCATGTTAAAATAATTTAATAAAATCAGTGGAAATGAAATTTAAAACTTCCTTTCCACATTCCTCTTTAGTTTTTACCACAGCATCTACTGCTATAAATTTTCATTTCTTCTAGTGATATGAGAACAAATATAGATATTTGTTTGCTGGTAATCAGCTGCCTGCTGAGTGTATGTGGTTGAGAATTTTCCCTTGAAATGTTTCTTCATTGAAAAATGTCAATTCTTCTGACCCATCAAAAATCAACTTAAAACTACTTTTGATGTTATTAGACAGACAGGATTTTGCGATATACAGAGCTGACGCAGAAAAACCTAATACAATAAACTCTATTAAGAAGATGGCAGTGTTGTCATAATTCATGCTAACATTGCTGAAAGGGCAAAACAAGTATTTTTACTTTAAATTGGGCCTTAAAGGGGAAATTTAAATATAGTAGTTCAGCCCTGCAAGATAAATTACTCTGTAGAGCATATAACATTGTATCTCTATATAAGAAATAGAGGGCACAAATAAGCTATGTATCTACTTTTATGTGTGACCTGGAAGTTCTTACCTTCCAGTGCCTTAAACCTACCCTCATCATTGGTATAAATTAGTGATGCCTAACCTTTTCACTAGGGCTGTGCGAAACAGCACTGTTTTGTGTCTACTTGCATGTCACTGTTTTGATGGGACAGTGTTTCATCTCAAGTTTCATTTAATTTCGAAAGCACTGTTGCATTTTGTTTTGTCAAAACAGTTTCACGGTTTCGAAGTTTCACCCATAGGCTATAATGGGGAAGCACGAAACTGCCTATAACTTTCTCATTTCTTGCCTGATTCAGCTGAAACATGCAGGGATGGTAGCCCCTTCTGAGGCCATGAAGCCTGCCAAGGGTCAAGGAGCTGGTGCAGGAGTTTCTGGGAAACTGCACCTCAGGCTGCTGACAAGGAAAACTTGAGACATGTATGACAGTATGTTTTAAGGCGCAGTGGGGGGAAAACTGCAAGGATGGTAGCCCCTGCTGAGGCCATGAAGCCTGCCAAGTTTCAAGGAGATAGGTGCAGGGGTTTCTGGGAAACTGCATCTCAAACTGTTTGCACCCGTCGGGCTTCGATCATCCGGTCATGTGCCGCCCGGCTGTGGATGTATAGGGATGTCCGTCGCTCCGTCCCTGTGGTTTTGCTGAATGGATGTCTCACCCCGGGGTAGTCTCTTCCCCAATCTCTCCTGCCACGACTTTGTGTATTCCTTCAGTGATGGGGTCCGACTATTGGGCCTCGCACACATCTGGGACCTCTAGATGGCAGTCTTCCGCGAGGCTCCAACCTCCCCTACACCTCTCCCTGATACCCAGCCTCAACGAGTTGCTGATGTCTCTCAGCCCAACCGCTGCCTATTGGTATTCTGGGCTCTCCTGTGGATACATATTAGGTCTAACCCAACCCCCAAATCTGAGTTATACCTTTATGGGTCTACACGGTCATCTCGATTCCCTCTAAGACAAAACCCTTCCTCTGATTGAGCCAACCCTAGGGTTCTATGCGACAGGCCTCCCAACCCCACCAAAGGTGGGAAACAGAAAGAAACAAAAGAAGGACCACTATCAATACCAGTAGGCTCCTGACTACACCAAATGGGCTAGCCTGGCCCCGAGAGTTTCTAGCTGGCCCTGTCCCGTGTATGCATACGCCTGGCGGCTATCACCTTCTCCCTTCCATACTGCGGACCACCTGCGTATTAGCTGGCCCCTTGGTGGTCCCTCTAGTTCCGCCTACTCTGTGTCCCCCGCCGGGCAGCTCTATGCAGCTGGAGCTTGTCTTCTGCAGCCCCTCCCACTGCTTAGGCTTTCCATTCCCCACCTGGGGTTGCTCCTGGAGCCTTTCCGAACCCGCACCGATCCCACCTGGCTCGACGCCTCGAGTTCTGTCACTCTCCCCTCTTCCTCCGGGGCAATCCCTGTTGTCATCTTCTTCCTCCTGATTTCTTGGATCCTCTCCCTCGAATCCTCCGTCTGAGTGAGATGCATCCACCTCTTCTCTCTCTGGGCCGTCGCTGGTGTCTTCCCTGCAATGGGCTTCAAGGCAGACTTCTGTCCCATGAGAGGCAGTCCTGCCTCCTCTTACCCCTAATTGGGGTTCTGGGGACACCTTTCCTGTTGACACGCCTTCTGGTCTTCCCCTTGTTCCTTCCTCCCGCTCCTCTCCACAGCTGGCCGCAGTTTTAAAAAAACACAGCTAACGAGCCGCACGGGTCCCGCCACCACTTCTGGTTTTGCCATGGCGCTGGCTGCAGGTAAGAGATTCTCCATTTTTTTCTCTCTCTCCTTGCCTTCCCTGTTACGTTCTGGCCCCCAGGGTCCCCCCTTGGCCC